GCATCTATATTACAAACATGCATAGTTGGAAAGACAACAGAAATTAGTTCTAGGTGTATGAAATGGTTGTCCCTACATCCAGATAGTTGCCGTGTGAACAAGATGTCAAGTAGCTGGATTCTGTTTAGCGGGGAGACCGTTTCTGGTGTTCCCCGCCGTGATATTGCTGGAATATTGCTAAAAGCGGCGTAAAACAATACTCACACACACTGTTTAGCGTGGAGAAGGTAAGTCTGTCATACAGACCCTGAAAAAAATATATATCCAATACAGCCCCTGCAAGTCTATAATGTTTGTCAAGTCTAGATTACTGCATTATCAGAAAATGAAGAAAGTGTCTGGGCTCCATTTTATTATATTTCATAACTACAGTTAAAAATATATTCATTTCAGAGACTGGATCTTAATCTAGGGCGAGGTCTATGCAGCTGAAATGTTATTTCCTTCGTTTGAAATATGAATAAGAAGGAAACTTTGGAGATTTAACGTGCGCTTTCCGACTGATGCGTATTTCGCACACGGTGTTTTCTCCTTACGGCGCAGCTGATATCAAGGGATTGTGTGCTCCGCTAGGTGGCGTTGTTTAGGGTATATAAAGGGTAGGTGAATTTGAATTCTTCTCTCTCGCTTCACGTGCTAGCACGACCAGTTGTACTTATTGCCATGGATACAGACGCTAAACTCGACGCCATTTTGAAACAGCTTGATGCACATAAAGAGCAATTTGAATCGTCACTCAATTAAAGAATTGATGCTTTGAGGGAAGAGTCCGTTCAAACTTCTTTCAACTTAAAGAAATTAAAAGCTGAAAAGGACGATATGTGATCCAGTTATGTGTCTAACAATTTAGCCGAGTACTCAGAAGATAAGCGCATTGCAAGTGCAGAAAATAAGACTGTTCGCAAGTTATGTCAAAAGCGTGCACGCACGTCAGGCCCCCTACATGACTAGTAGGTCAACCCGCCGATCTGCGACGATAACGACACCCGTGCACTTTGGATTTCCACTGTTATTTCAATCTATCACAGGGCAGCGTTTTCGTGCCAAAGAGCAAAGGGTCAGGAGCGTGTTTTGCATGTGGCGAATTTACACATTTCACAGCACCCCAAGGAATCTCACAAGTGGTATCGGGGCCTCAAATCAAGCCGGCCAGTAGGTCATGTCCAGATTTGTCAGTTGAGTATGGTAACATTATTGATAGTACATGTTGTGCGAACATCCTCACTGATGACCACTTTGAATACGAACAAGGTAAATCGGAAATAGTTGTAGAAGTTCGTCTCAAAAGTATCTTACAATATTGGACGCAGATAGGTGCAACCGACTTCGTATTGGATGTGATTGCAAAGGGCAACAAAAGTCCATATATATATATATATATATATGCCACCTACTGTGTTCATAAGAAACAATCAATCAGCTTCCAAACACAGTATTTCTGTTCCACGGGTCATTGATGAAGAAGCAGTTGATAAGTCTGCGTGTTGATCCTCCTACTGCCGTGAGCCCCATCAACTGTAGCTATCCAGTCTTCTGGCAAGAAACGTTTAATCCTTGATCTGTCTAGATTAAACAAGTATGTTTACAAAAGCAGTGGACCCGTGAAGATCCGGGGTAGAATAGGTCTTCAGCAACCCATGCTTGCCGTAAAAGTGACTATGCTTGTCGTAAAAGGCGACTAACGGGATCGGATGGTCAAGCTCGTTGACTTGGTTGATGCATGTCATCGATCCCAATTGCGTGGATCGGTGCTCATGATGTCAATAACTGGATTGTCTGGTCCAGACTCGATTATTTATAGACCGCCGTCATATAGCTGGAATATTGCTGAGTGCGGCGCTAAACAACAAACAAACAAAAGCAGTGTGAAATACGAAGACTGGAAAACAGCTTTGTGCTATATCAACAAAGATGATTGGCTTATATAATTTGATATTCATTCTGCACATCACCATATAGATATTTACCTACCTTATAGGGACTTTCTTGGGTTTGCTTAGCCATACTATGCAGGCATCTTCCGCTTTTACACATTCTTGATTTTGCCACATGGTTTAAAGCCTGCTCCGCATGTATTTACCAAAGGAACTAGGCAGTTGGTCAAGAGGTGGCGGTCGGAAGGAGTTGTGGGGCGTCATATGCAGTGGATTCCTTTTTATGAGAATCACCCCAGCCGGTTAATAGACCATGATGATCGGGGTGTGGCCAAAACTGGGTTGGATTGTATCCCTGTATGTTTGTTACCTAGAACTATCAAACATTTGTCAGAGTGTCATGCTGTGGGGACGTTTGTTGTTCCAGAGTGGCATTCGGCTTGTTTTGGGCAATTACTTTGTGAGAAATGTGTGTTGGTTCATCATGTCAAAGATGGTATATATTTGCCAAGATCTAATTTCATTTTATGCAGCCAGTAGGAACAGCATCTTTTGGGTGAGAATGAATTGCATTTTGATATGCTTGTTCTTTTGATAGATTTCCGTTGATGAGTCGAACTGTTTTATAGATTTGTTTCAGAATGTATACGGGGCGGTCGGGTAGTCTAGTGGTCAAAGTGTTCGCTCGTCATGCCGAAGACCTGGGTTCTATTCCCGACATGGGTACAATGTGTGAAGCCCATTTCCGGTGTCCCCCGCCGTGATATTGGTAGAATATTGCTAAAAGCGGCTTAAAACCATACTCACTCACTCAGAATGTGTACAGAGTGTTACAAAATCGAACTGGATTATCTCTCTGCGAAAGTTGGCTGATGGGCTTCCGGCCTTTCTTGTCGCTTTCTATAGCTGATTCTTCCACCAACATGTATAACTATGGTTTGGCTGCTTGGAAAAGGTGGGCAATGTGCAATGATGCTATTACAATTACCAATATCTCCTTTGCGCTGTGAAGTATATTTATTATCGGTGGTACAAACAAGTGATTCTATTTCACCAGTTTTAACTGCCTTTTATAGTTTGAGGCATGCTTATTGCAGCATTGGGCGTGATAGCCCCACTGAGAATAGTCTTGTAAAACATGTTGTGGAAGCGGCTAGGAGAAGGGTTGTTTAGTCAGGTATTAAGAAGGAGTCTGTTTCTGGGGATATCCTTCAACGTTTATACGACGCCAAAATTGTTAATGCATCATCAGCAGATTTGAGAATATTGGCGATGTGTTTATAAGCATATGCTGGATTTCTAATCTCATACACTAGATTGAGAGAACTTGTTTTAGAATGGAGACGTATAAGGTTATTTTACATATGTTCTAAATGTTATTGCTTCAGTGATTTTACATGTGGTTTTACATGTGATACCCTGTTACCTCTCTGCAGAGTTGAACTGGCCCATTTTAGTGTACTATTGCCTACAGTGACAAATGACAAACACTAGCAAATGATATTTAGAGGTTTTTCTTTATTCATACATTTCTTCTGATATTTCATACATCATACATCATCCAGAGTTTCATTTATCATATTTCATGTACATTATGATTCAAACATCACATTCACACTCCCATTTTATCACACATCTTACATTATCCATATATACATTTCATTCAGTTTCATTTATCATATTTCATGTACATAAAATACATATCAGACTTACATTCATCATATATCATCTCATACATCATCCATATGTTTCATTCATTTTCATTTATCATATTTCATGTGTCACAGAGTTGCACAAACTAGTTACTTTGTTAGCCCAGTTTTACAACACATCCAGCTGCATCAAGGAACTGGAGAGGAGACTTGATACCCGAAGTGTGCTTACAGTCTGCAGTGCTACATGGTCGTCTGGTTGATGATTATGAGGCGACTGATTCCTCACAAACTGGCCAACTGTTGTGCATTTCCCTAAGCACCCACGTTGTACACATTTCCAGTGCACACATGTTAGCCTATGGTTGTTGAGTCTGTACCTGTAGCCATCTAGTAGGACTTGCTGACCATCTTTTTGTGACATATGATACCGGACCTTCTACGGGTTTGCCATGTCTAAATCTCTAACATGCCAATCTTCGATAACTATATTTTATACCGGAAAATTTCCTTCTCAAAGTTTATCATCAATTACTTTAAAACATTATTCTTCTACTCTCATTTTACAGAAAATCCATATTTCCTGCTCCGGTTATCAAAGTACAATACCATCTTAGAAAATAAATTTATACAAAGGTCAAATATTTTCACAATCCCAGTAACATTTCTAAGGCATTAATTAATCGATCGGGAGGGTTGTTAATTGGGATTGTTCACTAGGCAAATATTAGCAAATATACATTATAAGCTATAATTAGCTTAATTATTACGTCGAATACGGTATGTGGTTTTGTTCCAAGAAGATAAGAGACGGCTCCGCTTTTGCTGTGAAAACCAATACTTAGGATAGCCTACTCACAAGTCAGAATTACTGGTTATCATTCCTCATCAAGAAAGTTCAATTGTCCAACCTCGGACATTAAATTAATTCATTCAGGACAGCTATAGTCGCCATTATATTCCTCTTGGCTTGTTATAGATCTACATCATGTTTAGTGGTATAAGTGTTACTGTCACAGTACCGAAAACCCCCAGATGTTTAGGTTGATATTTATTTTCTACGCCGTTCTTACTACAATGCACCATTTTATACCGCAGTATCGCTTCAGCTTTCATACTCCTATCACTATAAAATATGATAAATTATCGCAGTGCGCAATCATAGCGGCGAACCAGTTTAAGGGATAGGTTAAAAATGTACAGGGGTCACATTTACCTTTACAGGGCGTCCCTCATTATTTGGCGGGAGTTTGGAGCGTGATTGAATATGAAAATAGAAAAAAACAACCCGTTATTTGATAATTATTTTGTATAGTTCCCACTATGTATACCACATTTGTATTTTAGGGAAAATACTTACTTACAATGAATTGGTGCAAATGGAATTGCACTAAAGAAAGCGGACTATATTCTTCTTGTCCACTTCCGGTTGTGGTTTGCCAAAACAAGGAATCTATATATAGACATAACCAGACTCGCTGTCCACACGTGGGTTGTAATCTCAGCCTTTTCTACTAAACCGCTACCTGACATAGACGCCGTGTTGACAAGGACCGAAGACGAACCATGGCCAATCCCGAAGTTTACTTTGATATTTCCGTCGGCGGTAGTCCAGCTGGACGTATCTGCTTTGAGGTATTTCCCCGTATATATAGGCCTATTTTGATGTCGCATAATGTGAATGTTAAGAGGAGATAACTACAACTTTTAAACGTGAATGGCGGATGCCGGTATTCCTCACCCGCCATTCTGTCCTAGTTAAATCTAATGTGTATGCAAAATGTAGTTTCTTGTCGATTTTCTGCAAGGGAGCAGGTCAAAACAGCCCCATGTCAGTAAAGCCTCAAAAGGTTTACTTTACACTTAAAAATGTAGACAAGCTCAGTTATTGCCACATAATTTGTATTAGTATATTTTGTACATAAAGGCCCAACAGGAAATACCATGTGCAGCATTACACTTGCAGGGTTTGTCTTAACCTGCTCGAAGGCCGATATTCGGCTCCAAGTCAGCAGCTGATTAGTTTTAAAAAGGTCCGAATTAATGTTAGGGCTATAGGCCTATATGCCTTTGTTCTAGGGGTAACCCGTATTTCACTGATAACTGTAGTTTTCCAAATTTCTCTGACAGGGGCTGTTAGTTTAGAATACTGAATAAGCATTATAAGTGTCTGGACTTGTGTCATCACAATTCTAAATCACAGTTCCTTATATCCTTGGTCCATGGATTGAGGCACTTATATCCAGCAACTTGGCACTAAGTCTTATTATTTCTCCTTGTCAGTCTCCAGGCCACAAGGATTTCTTTTTGCTGGTGTGTAGTATTCTTTTTGATGTAGTGGCACAGCTTGACGGCTTGCATCAGAGGCCAAGGAGGGACGTCTCCTTTCATAGGACAGGTACCAACTTGTATATGCCAATGGACTGCTCTAAATTCTTTGAATTGATCCCTCTGTTCCATCATTCTAAATAGTGCTTACAATGAGACCCAAGGTTTTGCACTCATCCTCTTTGCTTCCTCTTAGCTTCACTCCGGGAAGCAGTCTCAAAGGAGTGCTAGGTTGCTTCCTCCAAGTTCATCATAATGGACTTTACTGCTGGTAATAGTCTAAAAAGGTTCTCAAAGATTGTACTTTTACATAAGCTTCTGTTTGAACAGCCAGCAACCAGTTCACAATGGCCAATATGTCATTTTAAACCCGACAAGTCTTTCCTCTTTTTCAGCCATCTTCCCGAGACAAGGGAGTTAACTAAGAAAGTCCAGTTTCCACCCTTGCCAAACTCAATCGTTGCTCCACCAGTTGCTATTACGAGTTAGGTCCCTTCTATGTCCCTCCTATTGACCAATCGGATTCCACCTCTCGTATCGCTTGCACTTCCTTCAAACAAAATGGTATCACTCGGTGAAGTAACTTGATTGATAATAAAGATCTATATAATAATTAAACGGGTCTTACTTGCTTCAAATCACGCGAGCACCTTGATTAAAAACGTGTCTGGTCTGTGAAGGAACATGGCTCGCCAGTGAAGAGGACCCGTCTTCACTTGTATGTTCACTGCAAGTGATCTGTGTTCCACTGATTGGCTGTAATGCTGGGCACCTTGCAGTAGATGCATTGGGCTTGGTACATGGTACATAATATATCTGACCCAGGTCAGGGACTCGTAAAACAGCTGCCCAGGACAACTTCAGATATGCCGTTCTGCTGCAAAGGTGTACATCACCATGATCTAAAACACCAGCAATTCCCAGGATATCTGACTAAACAAGTGCCGACAGTCTTTGCCTAATATCAACAGCAAAGCATTTCAGAGGTATCAGGCACACTGAATATGGCGTAACCATGGATCATGGATGGAGAACAGTTTGGTTCAGTGATTCAATATGTATGTTGCATTGAGCTTATGGAAGTGTCAGGGTGTATCAACATTGCTATAGTTGTTTTGCCTCCCACTGCATCCAGGGGGTTTCAGGTTTGAGGGACTCTTTTTACCTGATTTTTGTCACAAAGCGGTTTTGTTGTCTAAGATTTAAGTTAATATTGATGACCTTTTGCGTCATTTGTTTTCTTGGGGAAACTGAAAACCAGTTTTAACATGCATGTCATGAAATTTGTCATGGTCACTTGGATGAGTCTTTCACAAATAGTTCAGTTATGAATTTTGATAATTTTCATAATGTGAGAAACAAAGCTCCTAGTAGGTTTGTAGCTGGTGAATCACAATCATCGGGGAGATGTTAGCGTAACAAGCGCATGCGAAGACTTCTCGGTTATCCATTTGCAGGGATGAGAATCTTCCAAAGATCCGCAAATTTTAGTGACCACAAATTAGTTAAAATTTGATGGCTTCCCCCATAAACACACCCAGATTATGGACCACGCTCCATTGCAAAGATATTTCAGCTGAAAAGGAAAATATCCATTCTCATCCCTGCATTTGATAAACTGTTTCATTTTGTAATTTTCCAAATACACATTCCCATGTATGGCCTTAAAAACCCAGAATGAATCTACAACATGTCCATTTGTTTCGAGAGATTACACTAATATTGATGTAACATATCGTTTTGTATCAATGCATGGACCTGCAATATTTTTTGTTTTCATTAGTTTTTTTCTGCATGCGTGCACGTCATGGATGGATAACTTACGTCTCTACGTTGCATTTCAGCTCTATGCAGATACAGTTCCCAAGACCGCTGGTGAGAAACTTGAACATATCTACATTGTCTAGTTATTAAACATGTAAAATGTTCTTCTCGCACCTTGGCCATTGTTAACTAAATATGCTGATTCTTAATTGGATTCCACTTTGAAACAAACCTTGGTAGCCAAAGATACGCATGTATCATTATTACCATATTACCATATTACTTTGACAGTTGTTTGACTCTATCCTGCCAGTGTTTTCGTAAACTAAACAGGGAAGTCTGTAATGGGCTAAAAGATACTCAGTTTTATTCCAAAGTGCTACACTCGAGTTTTTACAACAAAAAAAAGGGGTAAAAAATTATTAGAATATGTTCTTCCTGTTACGATAATAGTTTCAGATACAATTCTTCTTATCAATGTATAAAATACTTCTAGTTACCATATTGGGTATTTAAAAAAGCACAAGGACCTATCAGTCGACTGTTGACTTTGGTTTCAGAGAACTTCAGGGCACTATGCACAGGAGAGAAAGGGTTTGGATATAAAGACTGTGTGTTTCATCGGATCATCCCCAAGTTCATGATCCAGGGTGGTGACTTCACTCGTGGTGATGGAACTGGAGGCAAAAGCATCTACGGTGCTAAGTTTGCTGATGAGAACTTCATCAGGAAGCACGAAGGACCAGGTTAGTACCACAGCACTGAGCAGCTATGTTGTGATAAGCTGTTCATAAACTGCTTCAGCTATGATAGTTACGTAAAGTTAAGCATTGTTTGTCGCAGAAAGTTGTAAGGGTCAAACTAGACTGGAAAATCATAGTTATTTTTTGGCTGGACTGACAAGTCTGCATAGTCCAATCAGAATCATGTATTGAAATCGAGATCTGGTTCGTAAACTGCCATGCAGATTTAGGTCGATTGCAAGATTTGCAAAGCGTTTGTACTGTCAACTGGGCGTCTACAAATATTTTCCAAAGCATTTCTTGTTTTAAATCAATTTGAACAGTAGTTTCAGCGTTAGAAATTGGCACTAGTCCTATAGTCCTTGCAAAACTGCCTAATAGTTAAGGTATCCTAAGGACAAGTAGAAATTTGTAGTCACGATATGGCTGAAATATTGCCGATGTGACTTTAAATATTAACTCACTCACTGACAAGTAGAAATTTACTTTTTAAGGGTTTTGCTATCTTATCTTTATAAGGACTTGTGGGCTAGAACTATTAGTTTCTACAGCTGAATATGAACAGGAAAGTTTAAATGGTAAATAATCGTGTAGTTAAATTTCAAAATTTCAGTTTGCTATTACCTGTTCCTTGATCCAAACATAATATTGTTATTGGTCTATCCTTGCAAGGATGTCGATGAATATTTTTGTCTTGAGAACCCCCTCATACTTGGAACAGATGAAACTCGGTAGCTCTACATAACAGTGGATTTCATTGAACGAGGAGATAAAGAAATATTTGCTGTCTGTATGATTCCTTTTTCACTGTTTTATAATTGGTATTTTCTGTAGGTAAATATAACAGGTATATGGCTTATCTTTTAGGTTAAAAGTAGGAACAAAATGGAAAAATATGGATGCCTCAGAAATAAGTACTTTTCATTCCATCTGGTTTGGCCCAGGTTTCGATGTTTTAATCCTTAAAATTTTTGGTACTGGTCAAGTGACCTATTACTTGAGGGATAGGTTTATTATGCCCCTCCACGAAGTGGCGCAGGGGATATAGAAATGGAATCCATCCCCTCCTCTGTCTGTCCGTCTGCTTCTCAAAGGGGACATGTTTTCTCAAACAGTTTAGGTCTGAGAAATGAAATTTTACACACTGCTACTGTTCATGATATCATGAGTTCGAAAAAAAACATGCTATTTTACTTGGTGCATAGTGTCTGCGACATGTGCAATGGGGAGAAAACTGCTGAAGTTAGGTTATCTAAGAGATATTTATCAAGACTGGTAAAAAAATGGGTCCATCTATTAGAGTTACAGCCCTTGATCCATGCTGTTCTACTTGTTTCCTCAGTAACTACTGAATTTGGCTTATCTAAGCTTCTAAGATACGCTTATCAAGAGATGGTTATTTTTTTCCCAGAGAAGGAGCCTTTTGTGTGTTAATTTCACTTTTTAATCATTTTTTCCCTGTTGACATGAAGCGGCCCCAGTACCTATCTCTTCTTAAGGCTTTTTAGGGCTTAAAAAATGAATTTTTTTATGTAGTCTTTCTCTTCTATATCAACAATTTGTTGCAGATAGGGATAACGCTGTTTTCTTAAGATGTATCAGCAGTTATGTAAGCCTGATCTAACCAGGCTTAATGGAGAATGTCTTGTTTGAATAGAATACATAACTAAAATAAGTAATGATGATCAGATCCATGTAATTGATTTATTCGGTTTTGCGGCAACAAATTGTGACATCATATGCTGCTAAACCATGCGTTATGGCGTCACATGGTAAACCTTTCGTCCTAACTAGTTGTGACTTGATAATTACATTATCAACTGTCTGTCGATTAACATCTTTACAGTGGGAGTGTATTTGAAAAAAATAGGGGGACCTAATTTCTTATTCAATTTAAGCAGTAACACCAAACAAAATACAACCAGTTCTGAAGAGCTAACATATGCATTTTTCAATGGAAATTTCTACCGGACATAGGAACCCGTCAACCCTTCAATTTGCCGGTATATACAGGCGAATGGAAACTCTACCTGGGATGTTGCTTTGATTTGCTTTGTTTGTTGTTTAACACCGCACTCAGCAACATTCCAGCTATATGGCGGTCGTCTGTAAATTATTCGTGTCTGGACCAGACGATCCAATGATTGACATGAGCATCGATCCACACAATTGGGATACGATGACATCCATAATGTCAGCGAGCCTGACCACCCAATCCCATTAGTCGCCTCTTATGACAAGCATTGGTTGCTGAAGACCTATTCTACAGATGTTAATGGGTCAAATGATATTGGTTAAGTTTGAAGTCCATTGTCATGGTCAGTGGTCAGGTTGTTTTAAAACTTCTGATTCTGTTTCTGTTTCTGAGGCATACTAAACTGTAATCTAAACAATGTTGAATGAAGTTTTGAATACAATTATTAAAATAGATTCCAAACTTATGTCCAGGTGTTTTGGACATACAAATAAACACTTTCTATGACCAGATAGTGTAATAAGTTCCTAATAACAGGATTAAATTGCATGCTTCAGTACAGATGTGTTGACATGGTGTCTCCGGTGTTCATTTTCTCACGGCAACTGGGGATAAAAAACAGTAAACTTAAAATTTTAATGGATGAATGCACTTTTAAATTTAAATGAAATTTTTTGTTTTTTGGGCCGCCTCCGTGGTCTAGTGGTAGAGCATCCACCGGAGAGCGGAAGGTCTGGGGTTCGATCCCCGGCCGCGTCATACGTAAAGACGATATAAGATGGTACTTGTTGTTACCCTGTCTGACGCTCGGCATTAAGGGGCTAAAACAAGGACTGGTCGGCCCTGAGTCAGTATGCTGTGTCTGAGTGGGGTATTCTTGTTAAACTGCGGCATGGTATCTCAGTGAGCTAGCACTATAAATTGGCATCAGTCCGGACTAGTACAAGCAGCCACACAAACACACGTACATGCACGTTGCTATATAAGTGCAATAATCTTGGACGCGATGTTAAACCCCATTTCACCTCACCTCACCTTGATTTTTTGGGAGCCAAGGGTTGCCCCCCTCACTGTGTGTGAGGCTACACCATGTTCACGGTACTTGCATCATCTCAACAAAACCTTCTGTCTGATGGTATTCCTAACAATAGTGTCAAGATCATCTCTGTATCATTCATTGCCAATCACTTTTATCTGTACAATCCTGAAATTTGGATAATTGTTTGATCTTGCATTAAAGAGTTTAGGACACTTGCAAGTTCTGTTACTCTCAGCAACCTTATCTGAGCAAACTTGCACATTTGAAAAAGTGTATTTTTCCCTTTCCAAGATGAAATGTCCTTTCTTGAGGCTGTTTGCAACAGTTGTGTGGCGATCAGCATTTAATGACATTCACCATGTATTAGATATTTTTACTGGCCAATGTTTGTAAAGTGTTTTCTATATCAATTCTTTCTTTTCAGGTACTCTGTCGATGGCTAATGCTGGACCTAACACTAACGGATCTCAGTTCTTCATTTGCACAGCAAAGACCTCTTGGTAAGTTAATAGCAAAGAGTACGTGGTGGATCCATGCTTTCATATTTCAATTTGAAGGTCCAACTGGACAGTAAGGCTTATGTAAGAGTGCGGAATTCTTGTGTGTATTTTGATTTCTGAAAATGATTAAATTTTTGAATTTTGGCAAATTTGACTTGCTGATAAGAATCAAGAGCACCAAGTTCAAAAAGCAATCTTAAAGGGCATGTAAACTGAGAAAAAGTATTGCAATGCGATTAAAAGTTTGAAGCACAGCATGTCAAAGCAGGGAACAGGTTTTATTCCTAGTGAGGAATTCCCCAGTGGTGGCTTTTTTAAAACGTATTTTTGGTCAAGCATTTGTGATTAAGTATGCCCTTAAGTATTAAAATCTGTAAAGTTGCAATGTTGAATGTTACTTGCCCTTTTAAAGGTTTATACTAAATATTGGTGGCCTAAGGGTGACCCAGTCATCTGAGGCACTGCAATTTGCTGTGCAGAGTTGAGTCCCATGGGCATGCCAGAAACCCATGATTGTCGTTTTGAATTCCGATTCACCAGTTTATGTATCAAGCTTCGTCTGCACCATACCCATGGTTCTAGGTTTTCCCAAAGTGGTAACTGTCTGAGACCAGGCACCTGTATCACTTCTGGTTTTCCTCCACATTAAGCTGAAGAGCCGTGACACTGTTCAGTGACTAACGGGGTCAGGCTCGCTTACTTGGTTGATGCATGTCATCTTATCCCAATTGCGTGGATCGATGCTCATGTTAATGACTGGATTGTCTGGTCCAGACTCAATTATTTACAGACCACCGTCATATAGTCGAAATATTGCTGAGTGCAGCAACAAACAACAAACTGTTCAAAGTTACGTCTGCTTGTTATTTCAGGTTAGACGGAAAACATGTGGTGTTTGGTCGTGTTACAAGTGGACTGGATATTGTCGAAAAGCTTGAAGCTCTGGGTTCCGCGAGTGGGAAAACCTCCAAGAAATGTATCATTTCTGCTTGCGGACAGCTTTGAGTCTCCTTGTAAATTTTAAAATCATCATGACTGTACACTCTCCTTAAATAGAGTTGTCATGGACCACAGTGCTTGATATCCATTACTTCTTCCTCGGTTAAAATTGAGATGCAACTTTCATTTGCTAGTAGTCCAAAACAGACTCAATGAGCCTTCAGGTTTGACAACGGAGGTGAAAGTTAGTTTTCTAAGCTTTTGAATTGACCAGCTGATTTTGTTTTCTACAGCCTCTTGAGATATTTGAGAATGTTGATGCGGAGTTACGTGTTCTAACACTACTACCTTATTAATCATCTAGTCCAAACTTGGGTTTTCCCCAGTAAAATGAAAGGGTTACTATTTTCAGCATTTGATAATTTTGTAATGGCCTGGTTTCTTTTTGTCTTTTTGTAGGGTCATCACAATGCATTCCAAAGTACCTGTAAATGCCAAACAATGTAATAAATTCTATAAGTTTTTATCTTGTTTTCATTTGAATCACATTGGATGTGAAGATAAGTTGACAATTCTGGCTGCACATGGGATATTGTCTGAGGGTACCTGGGTACACCATCATCACTTATGTGTGAGAAGAGTGAATAATAAGCAACTCCTGTGCAGTGTGAGTATCGCTGCCAGTGTTGAGCTGTTTCACCTTGTCATGTGAACACGTTACCTTGTCTGGCGCTCGGCAATTAGGGGCTAAAACAAGGAGTAGTCGGCTCGGAGTCCGTATACTGTGTCTGAGTGGGGTATTCATGTTAAACTGCGGGATGGTATCTCAATGAGCTAGCACTATAAATCGGCATCAGTCCGGACTAGTACAAGCGCATGCACGTCGCTATATAAGTGCAATAATCTTGGACGCGACGTTAAACCCCATTTCACCTCACCACCTCTTGTGAGCACATGGGTCATCTCTCCACGCGTCTAATCTACTAAAAGACCGTCTGGGTTAGAATTGTGTTGACTATTCGGATAGTTATTGCTCGCCGACTTGGTTGATGCATGGCATCTATCCATATTGCGTGGATTGACGCTTGATCACTGGTTTGCTTTGTCCAGACTCGATTAGACCTCAGTCATTCAGCTGGAATATTGCTGAGAGGCTTAAACAAGCTAAGAGACCGCCTCCATTTTGTAGTGTCTATCTGGAAAGCAGAAGGATGGGGTTCGATCCCTGGCTGCATCATACGAAGACATTAACAGATGGAACTTGTTGTTACCCTGCCTGACGATCGACATGAAGGGATATATGCTTGTTTGGATCGGGTGGTCAGCTTCGCTGACTTGGTTAATGCCTGTCACTGTGTCCCATTTGCGTAGATCAATGCTCATGCTGTCACTGAATTGTCTGATTATTTATACACCGTTGTGTAGCTGGAATATTGCTGTATTGGATTAAACAACAAACATCCCAAGCTACATCTGCATTTTATGTAATATAAGCTGAATCACACCTGATCCGAAGATTTTGTAAAATAGTCTCTCGTCAAACAAACTTCTTGGTTTCAAAGAATGAAATGACTTCTTTACAATTGAAGTTTTATTTTGGAAACATTCAAATTTCATGGCATTGTTATAAATAGGTTGTAGTCGATTGAACATCCCAACATTTGTCGACCACATGCTCACTAAATATACTTAAAGCTGACATGCTTGCATATTTTTGCCCCAGTTCTTAAGACCAACAAAATATATATCAAAATGTTAAATGTAATTAAGTATTAATGCACATAATATTGTTACATTATTTCTGTTCAAAGAAGTCATGCCTGTTCATTATGGTCTTGGGTGTCTTCTGTTCTTGATTGCAGGAAACAACGAGGGGCATTTAGTAAATGATAGTTTACAACCCTGACATTGCCTCCTCACTGCAGGGAATAATAGTTTACAACCCTGACATTGCCCTTTACTGCAGGGAATAATAGTTTACAACCCTGACATTGCCTCCTTACTGCAGGGACCGCCTCCGTGGTCTTGTGGTATAGCGTCCGCCCGGAGAGCGGAAGGTCCAGGGTTCGATCCCGGGCCGCGTCATACAAAAAGACGTTTAAAGATTGTACTTGTTGTTACCCTGTCTGGCGCTCGGCATTAAGGGGCTAAAACAAGGACTGGTCGGCTCGGAGTCAGTATACTGTGTCTGAGTGGGGTATTAATGTTAAACTGCGGCATGGTATGTCAGTGAGCTAGCACTATAAATCGGCATCAGTCCGGACTAGTACAAGCAGCCACACACACACATACACGTGCATGCACGTCGCTATATATGTGGAATAATCTTGGACGCGACGTTAAACCCAATTTCACCTCACCTCACCTTACTGCAGGGAATAATAGTTTACAACCCTGACATTTCCTCCTTTCTGCAGGGTCTTTGCTAATTCTGGCCGGTTATGGAAATTTATGAAATAATTATACTTTTAACAGTGAGCATTATATTGTCACGGTCTCTTGCCAATGGATAGACATGTTGTTTTTTCTGAGAATGTAGATGTTTAATCATCAAAATTGGTTTACATTTACATATTAAAACATTCTTTTCACAGCCATGTTTGAATGTGGGAAGCTTTGTGGGAAGGATGGGAGAATTAGTAATTCCTTGTTGCTTGCTCATACTCACATTGCATCTATTTCCTGTGGGTATTACAGGTAATAATATAGGCCCACAGCAAGCAGCTGGTGCTTGTAACAGGCGACTAAACGTGTCCGGTGGTCATGCCCTGACATGCCTGTTCCCATGTCGTCTTATTCAAGCTGTCTGAATCAATGCGCATGTCCATCACTGGATTGTCTGGTCAAGACTTGGTTATTTGTTGTCAGTTGTCATGAAGCTGGAATATTTCTGATTGGCGTTACTATACAAAAACAAACATTACATATATACTTCTCCAAAAAGGTCAAGGAACATTAGATTATTTCATATTTCTATAGTTTATCTTCTTTAGCATGTTTAGAGGAGTATGATTAAGCTGCTGAATTTGACAGCTCCTTCCACCGCCTCTTTTTACACAATGTATTTTGAGCATCTGAAGGATATGTCATGTTCCCAGTTTCATAGCCTTTAAAATACTTTTTTGAGTTTTGACAATGAAAATCATGGCAAGTGTCATCCTCAGACTCAGACATAAGTTCGTTTATCTCCCAACTCAAGTATTTAATGTTGATTAATGAATTAGATATCTCCCTTAAGTATGAAAGGAGTCCAATTCCATATGTATATGCTATGACCATAGTAAGCCTTATTTTAAGTGTGTTAATTACGATCATCTCATCGCTAAAATCATTTGTGGAACGGGCCTTGGTCTTGAGTGACATACATATGCGGTCAATGTTGCTGAAAGTTATTTGTAAAGTGTCTGTCATTTTCACTACGGGATCCTGGGTTAGAATATGCCCCCAGCAACCTATGCTTGTAAGAGAAGACACAGTGGATGGGATGGTTAGGCTTGTTATCTGCATACATTGGGGTGTAATGTTAGAACATAATGTTTTCACATATTGTTGTAATTGAAACAAAACTTGGACAGAATCAACTTTAACAACATTACCAGGGAGGAATGAGTAATCGTTGGAAAGAGGTAACCAAACTTTAAAAAAACCTTATTTTTGTCTCACGTTTATTATAATGCTATGCATACACGCGAAATACATAAATAATTATTAAAATATTTTTTAAAACATTCCTAACTGTAAATTATTACACTAAACATATTTATGTTATTCGGCAATAATAATAACAGGGAGCCACGTCCTATCCTCGACTGGTTTACCTGCCCTAGAGCGCTTGCGCTCCTCGCCTGCAGCCGCTAGGAGGTGAAGGGCAGCCAAGCCATATTCGACCTATTTCCCCATGTAGAATTTCGGTGAAACATCCCATTTCCGTAAAGCGGGTATGTCTGTCGAGAAGGTCGGGAACAGGCCCACAGCATATCGATATGGAAAAAAACCCGTTGACCCAGTTTCAGTGTAGCGAGATATTAGCAGTTTTGGACAGTGCATAATTGACGTGTCAGGCTGCAGGAGTGAACATTACTATAAGGGAGGTAACTCACATAGAGAAGTATGGTTCATGGTAAGAAATAACATGTTATGTATGAAATGACGTGGATTTCAATTTTAACAATATCTGCATATTTCCATATGCAGATCCACTTCGTTTTGAAATAATATTACAACATTGTAGCGTCTATTTTGAAAAGATTAATTATGAAAAAATATTAATAACTTAACCACTGTAGATATATGAATGTCAACGGTATCATGTGTACCACTATTATTGTGTCAACTTAATACCCCATGTTTCTTGAAAACAGTTACAAATATTTCATATTACTAGTTTTGTTTTCATAATATGTTTGTCTAAGAGGCGACTAACGGGATCGGGTGGTCAGGCTCGCTGACTTGGTTGAAGCATGTCATCGATCCCAACTGCGTGGATCGATGCTCATGATATCAATGACTGGATTGTCTGGTCCAGACTCGATTATTTACAGACCGCCGTCATATAGCTGGAATATTGCTGAGTGCGGCGTAAAACAACAACAAACAAACAAACAAAAATATATGTTTGTTTTCTACTTTATAATACGTAATATTGAAGCTTAAACGTGCCATATTCCCATTCCTGATTCTGAAGGCATCACATGCAAATTGCAATTTGTTTTATCTTCTGGTTTACACATGTGCGCTTTATGACGGTGTAGGTACTTGCATCAATAGGTAGGTATGCTACAAAATGTCTTTGCGCCGTGTTGAACCTCTTGATCAAAGTTATCTTGTTCATTACTGTGTAAGTATTCTAAACATGGTAAGTTATAGGTACTAGTAACTTACGTTGATGACGTTAGTGGTGATAGCCGTTGAGTCGGCAGTTGTAATATGGCCATGTTGTCGTGAAGACCGTTTTGTTTGTTGAAGTTGATCTGAGTTGTCCCATGGTTGACGTAGGGGCGACTATGCTTGACGTAAAAGGTGACTATGCTTGACGTAAAAGGTGACTATGCTTGGCGTAGGAGGCGACTCATGGGATCAGGTGGTCAGGCTCGTTGACTTGGTTGATGCATGTCATCGTATCCCATTTGCGTGGATCGATGCTCATGATGTCAATCACTAGATTGTCTGGTCCAGACTCGTTTATTTACAGACCGCCGTCATATAGCTGGAATATCGCCGAGTGCGGCGTTAAACAAACAACTTGACATGTCAACAAGTGATCACATTGCCAGGCGGAGACATAACAATCGAAAAGGAGCTCAAGTGAGATGGGAGATGCAGGGACTAATAACATGCTGGGGCTACACGGGCTAGGGCCAGTAGCAATCAAAAATCACATTCTACAACCATCAGATAAATGTTTAAATGACAGGCATATTTATTGTCCCTCTTGTCAAGCTCTGTCCTTTCGCCATGGACTTTTAAAGTCAGTTAACTCCCTTGCCTAGGGAAGATGGACTAGTACACGCAGCCACACATACAT